TGAGGAAGACTGACTTTGAAATTAGATTTTAATCAGCATTTCCTGAAAATGTTCACAATGTATAAGAGCATAATCCAGAACTTTTAATCACACAACCCATATGCCTCTTCCATGATGAGACAGGATAGTTATGTCTGTGGACAGGAACAATGATTGTGAAATGAATGGATTTCTCTGTGGCTGCAGGTTTACAGGGAGACACTAAGCAGGATCTCCTGCTTGAAGCACTGCAGTGTATTCCATGGTTTATATTACAAATCAGAGGTGATGTTGAGGCTGTTGTGGACTCTTAGTCAAAATTCCTGAATCCCTTTCATGCTGTAGCAAATGCTTCCTCAGGCCTCTTCCTAGCAAGCACTTGTGTGAAAACTTGGTTACATTAAACGTTCAAAAACTCAGCGAGCAAGCGAACACAGGGACCTTTGTCTCTGATGCTAACAGTAGTTTTGTCAGTCCTCTTGGCCAAAAGCCCAGGGACAAGTCCTGCTTGTCATATGTTTAAGGCTTGCCCTAGAAGTCCAATTTGCTGCCTGCCTTAGTGGCTCATGAATTGATATTTGAGAAGTGCATTATTTAGCACATTAAGATGACATTTAGTTTTTGTTTTACCCTGAAGTATGCTTTTAAAATGGTACTTAATGTAAGGTTTTCAAATTAAATTAATGTGAATTAAAACAAACAACTTTAAGTTCCAGTCCTGTCTCTCAGTGAGAGGGACATACCACTGGTAGAATTGATTGTCCCTCTCCTGTACCCCCTCTGGAGCAGATTTGTGGGGCTGATGACAGGGAGCTAAAGCAGAGACTAGAGCAAGATCAAGTCTGTGCATGTGACATTAGATGAAACTCAGTGTTTTTAATCTGTCCTTATAAGGACTTAAGACTTGAACCAGGAAAAAAACCCTTAATTTAGAATTTTGATATACATCAGATTTATAATTCATTTAGTGGTGTCATATGCATACTTCCCACTTAGCCATGATTGGGTTACTAGTTAAATAATACTAGTTACATTTAAATACATTTTTAAAAATAAACTAGCTTCATTAGATTAGGCACATTGTTGTATTTGATATGACAGAACTCGACAGAATGTAACAAAAACCTTAGTTGTTTAAAACATTTTTACCCTGCTGTTCAGCTGAAAAGACTCCCATGGGCAGCTTATTAGATGCAATCTAAAAAGGCATGGCACAAAAGGAAAGTGGATGTGAAAGGAAGTGTTAAAAAAGAAAATTCAGGCACCAATTTAAAGTTAAATAGTGCTTATAATTCCCAGCTGCGATGGAAACAGGGCATTGAGGAGACAGCTGGTCTCTCACGGAAAGGCAACAGAATGGCTGTGCTTCCCATGCATCCTGATGGAATGGCTGGTTCCAGCTGATGGAATGATCTTGCTCCCAGTTGCTCACCATAATGCAAGTGAATAAATGTATTTTTAACTTAAACATTAGTGGTAAGAAAATGTGACAAGATTGTGTATCACCCAACCACTTTTTGGTTTCTCTTAGACCATAGAGTCTAACTGGCGATGTGGAAGGCACAACTTGCAAAGAATTCAGTGCCGCTCTGAAAATAGTAAAGGCGTTTACTGCTTACAGTATGATGATGAGAAGATTATCAGTGGCCTAAGGGACAACTCCATTAAGGTAATGGAAGTTACTGATTATTTTTACTTTTTATTCTGTTTTGCTTTCTTTGGTTTGAGAGACATTCAGTGGGTCAGTGCAGTCTTGTTTTCTCTTGGTTCTGGTGGGGTTATTGGCCATTTTGCACCATCTGCCCAGTTATAGCTCAGGAACACTCATACCCTTGTTAGTCTAGAATGCACATGTTGCTCATTAAACCTGTGTTGTATTCTGCTTCTCAGAATAAAAAAAATAATCTTAAAGACAGGAAAAAATTTAAGATTTTTAATCACATTTTTTTCGATTTAAAAAGCAAACAAAACCCCAAGCTAACATGTCAGTCCATTGCATATGGCATGGAAGTCTTGGGTTGTTTAACTCGGGAACTGCAGTGATGAGAAGGGCATCCTCGAACCATTTTTGTTGTCAAAGCCATTACATCCAAATCCGGAACTCTGGGTTGTTTGAGGATTTAACCATCCTTGACGTTAACCTAACAATCACCCATTATTTGTTGGGGTAATTCTGGGTAATTTAACCTATAAGCAGCTCAGAGTTTTCCAGGTTGCAAACAGCTCAGGGACATTTCTGAGTAATGGATGAAAAAGTGTCATGCATGCAGTGAAAATGCCCTGGTTGTTTGTTGCTGTTTCTATTGTTTCTGATCGTGTTTTGGGAATGGGAAGGATGTTCTAAAATTTGTTTACAACCATATGAGTCTTTATAAAGCTATTTTAAATTATGAAAGTCAGGGATTGATGAAACTAGGCAATGTCCTCCCCACTTTTTTGGGGGAGTGCAATCAGTTGAAAAACGCAGAAGGTGCAGAAACAAATGGAACAACTGGTATCTTCTCCTGGAAGGCTGGACCACAGACTCAGTTTGCCATACTTTTCAGCTTGAGAATGAAACTGATTCTGCATTTAAGTAACTTACCTGGGTTTCTGTTTGGCAGATTTGGGATAAAAATGGATTGGAATGTTTGAAAATATTAACAGGACATACTGGCTCAGTTCTCTGTCTGCAGTATGATGAAAGAGTCATTGTAACTGGATCATCTGACTCCACTGTGAGGTGAGCATTATTAGAATTGCAAATATGGCACAAAGGACTGGGGTAAAGAAAATACAGACTATCCTCCTGTATCCGGAGTGGCATATTTTTGAGCATTTCTGGTATCGGCCAACTTACACCAACTAACATTTCAGTATTTACTTAAATGCAGCTTTGTGATTCTTTATGCTTTTGCAGCGGCAGGTGGGGGAACCTGGGTTTCTGTACAACCCAAAGTACTTCTGATGGTGGCAATTTGCAGCAGAGAGGAAGAAGTGAAATGCTGGATGCCCCCCCCCCCAAGCAGTGCTTCCCCATACTATGACAGACATCTCTGAAAACTGGAGAGAGTGATGGAGCGATGGGAATATGGTTCAGAAGAAGGGTTAAAATCCTTTCCCACCAGCTAGTTTTCCATGAGGACTCACTTCTCTCATTCTGCTACTTTGCAGCTGCTTCTTAACACCATTGCTTTCCAGACCTGCCAGCAAAAGTATAGCAGCCCTTTGAAATTGGCATGCTGCAGCGTGATGGGGCCATTATCCATGAAAGTGCACAAGGGGAGTGCTTCGTGCTTGGGGATGGGCATGGGAGGAAAGCTTTTGTTTTTTTATGATATCGTTTTAGTAGCCTTCTGCAACATGGAGCCTGCCAGACAGTTGAACTGCAACTTCCATCAAAGGTGATGGCTGGGAGATGATGGGAATTGCAGATCACCACATCTGGAGGCTGCCATTTTGGGGAGGACTGATTTGCAACTGTCAGAGGAAAAACTTGGACTGAGAACATAAGGTGGTGTTCCCACCACAGCTACCCTCTTGATTTATTTGTCTATAACAAAATAAGCCTTCTGAGATCGTTGGAGTGTAGCAGCTTGACATGGCTAAGAGTTTTTTCTCCTGAAACGTAGCAGTTTTTTTCTTATCATTTGATTTTCTTTTTCTTTGCAGAGTGTGGGATGTGAACACAGGCGAAGTCCTGAATACACTGATCCATCATAACGAGGCAGTGCTGCACTTGCGTTTCAGTAATGGCTTAATGGTCACCTGTTCGAAGGACAGATCAATTGCTGTGTGGGACATGGCCTCCCCGACTGACATTACACTGCGCCGCGTATTAGTTGGTCATCGGGCTGCAGTAAATGTGGTTGACTTTGATGACAAGTATATTGTATCTGCTTCTGGGGATAGGACCATTAAAGTAAGTTGGTAGTGGGTATCTCAGACTTGCAGATTCATGCAGCAAAGGCAGAGAAAGTGTTTTTAACATGTGCGTGGGGGAATGTTGGTCATGATAGCATATCTTTTGGAGTAATTCCTAAAGATATTCTGTGGCCTTACACTTTGTAATCATTTAACGTGGTGGTGGCGAATGGGTTCCCCACCGGCTTTTGTTGCATAATGGCTCCCATCATCCCTGATAATTGGCTGGGCCTGATGGGAGTTAGCATTTAACAGCATCTAGAGAGCTACAGGTTCCTTTCCCCAGACTGAATTAATCTTCCACATTTTCAGATGCTTAAACTGTTTAGAATTCTGTTTTTTTGCTTCTACCACACTATTTCTTGAAGTTAAAAGTCCTTACTAGATGCATGTAAACTCTGATTGGCACTTGTAGCTTTCCATTCTTTTCCAAATGCCATTTTTCCTATTTCAGTTATTATTCAGCTTCTAGACATGCAACACGCATGGAGTTGCCTTTTACCAGGTTTCCCACTTCAGCAGCAGTGCCACAATTTGTTTCCTTTTGAGGAATTCATATGCTGTGCTCAGTGACCATGTTTATGGCTGACCATGAGGTGCGTCCTCCAGGGAGAGAGCCACCAAAGGGTGCCATAAGTAGCTGTGTCCCCAAATTACTACCTTCCATTGTGGAAAAGGATCTGTGAGATGCTTCATGATTACAATTTCTTTTTTTAAAAAATCTAACATTAGTGAGCAAACCTCTGCTTGTACAATGGGGCTTTCCAAACCAGGGTTAGTGCACCAGGGTTCCAAACCCTGCCTCCCTCCTTTTGGCTACAGCACAGTGAAAAGCTGGAGGGTGGGGACACCCTCAGGAAAAGCAGGCATGGGACCTGGAGGAGCTGCAGCGGTAGCAGGGGTAAGGTAGCAGAAGTCCAGGAAGGGACAGCTTGCACTAGAAATGCCTCACTTGAGCAAGTGATCCTGCTGTCCGGTTTTCATAGATGTCTCCCTTCTTGTGCCACACAGACATTCCTGAGCCCTGATGGATGGGCGGGGTGAAGGGTCAGGAGGGGGTCCCTCTCTTCATGTAATGCTGAGTAACGCATACCCCCAGCTAACGCTAATGCCTGCCAGCTTATTAAATGCAATATTGAATATGACAGCTTTGTAGTTTGCACCTGGGAGCATACATCCCATGCAGCTAAAGGTGGCTCTCTGAAATGAAAAATGGTTGTCTTCAGTAGTCTTTATGTAATGTTTTATGACACTGCTGAGCCATGCTTTTTAAAGGGCAGAATTTCAAAGTGTTCATGTTTTCCACATATACCTGATGGCTTGCTATTTATTTTCCCTACAGGTCTGGAGCACAAGCACATGTGAATTTGTTCGCACTCTCAATGGGCACAAGCGGGGCATTGCCTGCCTCCAGTATAGGGATCGACTTGTCGTGAGTGGATCATCAGACAATACCATTAGGTAGGCAGCAGACTCTGTTGTTCTTATCTGGACGTGTGCTGCACATGTGTGGGTCAAGAAAGTCTCCCAGCCTACAAGGTCATCTCTTTCCTCCAGCCTTAGTAGTGTGCCTCACTTCCTCTATTCCCTTCCCTTAAGTTGATGGACCAGCAGAAATGCAAGTGTTCCAGCCCTTGGGAACAGCAATCCCCAGGAGCATGCCTCCCCTTACCCAGAGCCAGGGCACTGGACCTCTGCTAGCCCAAGGGCCAACTTCCATTACGGAGAAGCTTTGGGTGGCTGCTTTCCAGTGTCAGGTGGGGCTGAAGACAAAAGGGATGGGGGCCAAATTCCCAGCATTTGTTAGCATAGAACTCTCACTGCCAGGAAGCAAGCTTTTCGAGAAGCATTTCACTCTTTTTGAATTGGAGGAGGAAAGCATATAAGCTGGGGCGGGGCCCTTTGCAGAAGCACAGAGGACTGGATTGAGGACCAGATGAAGTCTGCACTGTGCTTCAAACTCTCTTTCATGCTGAGGTATTGAGAAAGTGAGAAACAGCAGGGATCTTTCTGGCTTTCTTTAATCTTCTCCAAACTTCAGCAAAAATAAGAGGAACTCTTACAGCTACCCCAAGTAGGAGTGGTGGGGGAAGGGCACTGGAAATGAGCACAAGTGGAAGCTGGCTGGTAAGTCAAGCTGATGCTTGTAGGCCCCCTTTTCTTGACAAGAAAAAATTTCTGTCCAGTTCCTCTGTAGTCATTACCCGAGGTTGTGGTTGCACCCATTCATAGGTGCTAACCCCAAGAAGTCATGCTTCCTTTAGCAACACTTTGATCTCAGAAGGCTGGCTGGGCTGCCAACTGCTTAGGATCAGCCCTTGGCCTTCCCCAGCACTCTGTCAAAGAGCAATTGACTAGAAGGGGAGAGAGGGCCAGGAGCAAAAGTGATCAGGGTAGGGGGAAGCTTTGTGCTCCTGAAACAACTGCTTGCAAGGTATATACGCAAGTTTGTTTCCTGGTGGTGAAAAATGGTCTTGTTAGATAGAAAAAAGAATCCTGTGACTCCCAGCATTCTCTAGCTAGTGGTGCTCAAAGCTGAAGGCCTTTTCCTGTTTAAACATGTAAGATTGTACCTTAAATTATTCTGCGCCCAGTAGTCAGTCTAACCATCCTTGCAAACTAACTCTGAAACTGCTGAGGTGGGGGTGAGCTTTCTTTCAGGAGATTTGTGCAGAATGGCCCCCAGTGATTCAGCGGACAACTTTGGGTTGAGTGTGGACCTTTTGGAACACAACTGGTTGTCCTCAAACAGTAGTGTAAGCATATGGGGGTGCATATTTTTAAACACCTGTGATCTTTTTCAGGCTTTGGGATATTGAATGTGGGGCCTGTTTAAGAGTGCTAGAAGGCCACGAAGAGCTGGTTAGATGCATCCGGTTTGATAACAAGAGAATTGTAAGCGGAGCCTATGATGGGTGAGTACTCTATAACAAGTTCTGTTTTCATTTCTAAGTTTTCTTGTGATATGTTTCAGAATGTTCATACCAGCTTTCTTTCCTCGCTTCATAGCAAAATCAAAGTTTGGGATTTACAAGCTGCTCTCGACCCTCGTGCCCCAGCAAGTACGCTATGCTTACGTACATTGGTGGTATGTAGATATTCATTCATTCATTCATTCATTCATTTGAAATACTTATATTTTGTTCCTCCACGGTGATGTAAATAGTCTCCCAGAGAGATGGGCATATTCTCAGTGATACAAGGCAGTCCTTGACAATCTAAAAACACATGGCTTACTAGGCAAAAAACAGGGAGGGAAGAAGGGCGGCTGGAGGTAAGTCTTTCTTCAGTAGACCTGGTGGCATGTCCCTGCTTCAAGTTCTCATCCCTGCTAGGTTGACTACCAATACATTTGTACAACAATAGTACATTTTAATCCTCCCTTTTTTAAACTAACTCTGTTGAGCATCTTGTAACAGAGTAGACATTCTGTTCAGAATCATAAGAATAAAAGATATTACACTGGAAGATGAGCCTCTCAGGTCGGAAGGTGTCCAATGTGCTACTGGGGAAGAGCAGAGGGCTAGTATTAGTAGCGCCAGAAAAGAATGAAGCGACTGGGTCAAAGCCGAAAGGACGCTTAGTTGCAGATGTATCTGGTGGTGAAAGGAATGTCGGATGCTGCAAAGAACATTACAGCATAGGAACCTGGGATGTAAGATCTATGAATCAAGGTAAGCTGGGTGTGAGATGACAAGACTGAACATCGACATCTTAGGAATCAGTGAACTAAAATGGACAGGAATGGGTGAATTTAATTCAGATGACCATCAGGTATACTATTTTGGGCAAGAATCCCTCAGAAGAAATGGAGTAGCCTTCATAGTCAATTAAAGAGTAGGAAAAACCGTACTGGCATACAATCTCCAAAATGGCAGAATGATCTCAGTTTGAATCCAAGGCAAACAATTCAATATCACACTAGTCCAAGTCTGTGCCCCAACCACTGATGCTGAAGAGGCTAAAGTTGACCGGTTCTACGAAGGTCTACAACACCTTCTAGAATTAACACCAAAAAATGATGTCCTTATCATCATGGGGGATTGGAATGCTAAAGTAGGAAGCCAAAAGATAACCAGAATAACAGGCAAGTTTGTCCTTGGAATACAAAATGAAGCAGGACACAGACTGGCAGAATTTTGTCAAGAGAACACTCTGATCATAGCAAACACTCTTTTCCAACAACCCAAGAGGACACATGGACTTCACCAGACGCTCAACACAGAAATCAGATTGACTGTGCTCTGCAGCCAAAGATAGAGAAGCTCAATACAGTCAGTAAAAACAAGACAGGAGCTTACTGTAGCTCAGATCATGAGCTTCTGGTTGCAAAATTCAGGCTTAAATTGGAAGAAAGTAGGGAAAAGCACTAGGCCAATCAGGTATGACCTAAATCATAGCCCTGATGAATATACAGTAGAGGTGACAATTAGATTTAAGGAATTAGATCTGATAGAGTGCCTGAAGAACTATGGACAGAGGTTTGCAACATTGTACAAGAGGTAGCAACTAAAACCATCCCAAAGAAAAAGAAAGACAAGAAAGCAAAATGGCGTCTGAGGAAGCTTTACAAATAGCTGAGGAAAGAAGGGAAGCGAAAGGCAAGGGAGAAAGGGAAAGATAACCCAACTGAATGCAGAATTCCAGAGAATAGCCTTCTTAAATGAACAGTGTAAAGAGACAGGAGAAAACAATAGAATAGGAAAGACTAGAGATCTCTTCAAGAAAATTGAAGATATGAAGGGAAATTTCATGCAAAGATGGGCATGATAAAGGAGAAAAATGGCAGGGATTTAACACTGATTGGGAACTGAACATGGAACCACTGATTGGTTCAGAATTGGGAAAGGAGTACAGCAAGGCTGTATACTGTTGCCCTGCCTATTTAACTTATATGCAGAGCACATCATGCAAAAGGCAGGGTTAGATGAATCACAAAATGGAATTAAGATTGAAATATATGTTGGGAGAAATTAAGATTGAAATATATGTTGGGAGAAATATCAACACAACCGCAGATATGCAGATGATACCACTCTAATGACAGAAAGTGAAGAGGAACTAAAGAGCCTCTTGATGCAGGTGAGCACAAAAGTTCGCTTGAAACTCAACATTTCAGAGCATGAAGGAATGTTGTCCATGGGGTCACAATGGGTCGGACACAACTTCACTAAACAACAGACATTCTGTGGTTTTTTGAAAATGAGTGCAATAAGAGCTTGAAAGCAGAGACTTAAAGTGTGTGCTTGTTCAAGTTTTACTGATCAGTTTCAAAATGCTCTGAGATAATCACTGGTGTGGTACATTATTACAATTATTCTGAATAATTATATACCACCCCTCTGGGTTTTTGGAAAACATTCCATATTTCCCCCTTTAATATCTGTGATAATGCCTTCCAGTTGTGTAGGTGAAGCATTTAGGCATGACAGAACAAGGTGTTTTGTTCATCAAAGGAAGACTCTGAGCTGATTCTCAGTTTAGATTTTGCACCTTTGAAAGCAGTATTTGAATATTTGAAGACAAATACTCACCTAGGAAACGGAATTGTCTGCCCCGCTAACCATGCATGTTTGCCATCTTTTCAGGAACATTCAGGTCGTGTGTTTAGACTTCAGTTTGATGAATTTCAAATCATTAGTAGTTCCCATGATGATACCATATTGATTTGGGATTTTTTAAATGTGCCCCCCAATGCACAAAATGAGACACGCTCTCCATCCAGAACATACACTTATATCTCCAGATAACAGTCTGCAATTTGCTACTTACTAAGGTAAGCTTTTATTATTTTAAGGATGTCTTTTTTCTGCTGGTTACTGCAACCATTCCTGGTAATGGCTCTGAAAATAAGGTGCATTATCTTTAATGCTTTTCATGGGATTTTCCTGGCAAGTAAATGAAGATTGTTTTGACATTGCAGCCATTTAATTGGCTAATCATATGTGCTGGAGTTAGACTAGAATCATGTCTAGATTGTCATGTTTGTGTTGTGTTAGCTATTTCTCACTGTGGCACATCTTATTTCTTAAGAGGGGTCTTCCTGGACTCCTACTGATGCTGTTGTGTATAAACAGTCTTACTTATTTTCCAGCAACTATGATTATGTACTCTGTTTTCTGCTAGCTAAATGTGAGCATTTTTTAAAAATCTGGTAACGGAGGTTAATTGATGAAATAAACTGGGTTAGTATGACATGTTATTTCTATTTTGGCTTATTAACAATTGCTCCATATTTAGGTTTTTATAAATCATTTCTTCTCTCCTTTGCTCAAGTAGCATAATTTTTTCTCTCCTGTTTTGTGGGATCTGCCCTCCATGAGTTGACATGCTACTGTCATGCACTGATTTGCGTTCACACCATTTATAGCCAGCCTGAATTAGAGAACATACAGACCATCTGATTTCTGTTCCCTGGAGAGGCAGTGGCTTCCTTCCTTGATGTATGGAATGCCATGTGAAGACATCATTTTATAGACCTCTCTGGGTGGCCTTTTGATAAGTGGATTTTTGTAGTATCCACCAGAAGAACTGGCCAGAACTGGTAGCCTACCTCTAGCATAATTTGAACAGGCCTTGTCTTAGGGAAAAATAAACCCCAAGGTATATGAGAGATTTTTTATGAGGTCACAAATTCGGAGGCTCTAGTAGTGATTGCTGCTTTACATCTTTTCTCTCTTCTCCTAAGAAAGCAGTATGTGCCTCAAGTAAGTGGCATTCATGTATAACAGCCTTTCCCAGCCTAGTGCCTTGCTAACATGTTGGACTTCAGCTCCAGCCAGTATGGCCAATGGTCAGGAATGTGGGGTGTGATGGTGCAAAGCAGCCTTCCCCAACTTTGTGCCTTCCAGACATGTTTGGACTGCAACACACAGAATTCCCAGTCCATGTCCCTGCTGGATGGGAATTCTGGGAGTTGCAGTCCAAATGCCGCGGAAGGCCACCAGGTTAGGGAAGGCTGGTCCAAAGCAGCCAGAGGGCACTAGGTTGGAGAAGGCTATTCTATGGTGCAACAGTAATTGCAAAGAAAGGGGATAGTGCCTCCCCTTCCCAAGTAATCCTGCTGAGATAAATGCTATTTGGGGAGAGGCATATGTCACGAGGTGCTTGTATGACCATCCTTTTTTGGTGGCCACCAGTCACCTGAGAGGCATGATCCACAATAAGTGCACAATGAGTGTACAGGAGGGCCAAATTATCTTTTAAGGTACAAGGCTTGGGTATGTTCCAAACAGTGGCTTAAGTCTGAGTTGTAAAACAGTGTGACCATGACATGGAGAGATGCTGGTCACATGAGGTAAGTCACTACACAGTTTCTCCCTTGGCAGGGCCCTTAGCCCTTTGCAGAAAAGAGTGCTTTGCAGTGCTTTGCAGATAAGATTCCAGATAAGGAATTATATGGGTCTCGGTGGACAGATGGTCAGGCATTGTATAGGCAGTTTTTTTATGTATTCTATAGCATTTTCCAAATCACAAGGCAGAAAGCTTACTTCATTTCATAAAATTGCAAAATAACAAATATTGCTAGTGATAATACTGTTTTTATTTGCTGCACTCAAATAATTTAGGTCTCTAATTTTTTAACCAAACCCATACCTTAAAAAATGTGTCCCAAATGAACATGCCTTTTAAAATCTATCATTCTGACAACCCTGGTGTTTTTGGCTATAATTGAACTTTTAGTGCCTTCTGTTAAATTACTTTTTTATTGTAACAAGATCAGAATTGTTACCGTATGATAATCTGATATAATCCTTTATTTAAACATTTAGGCAAAAGTTAAAATGATTAACCTCTCAGCAATGAAACTCCCATGGCCATAATTGAACTCGAAAGCCCCTCCCTCTCAGGGAGAAAGCAGCAGAAGATTAGATTTAATTATGTTGTACTTAATTGAGAGACACTGTATTGGTTTCCAGAGAGCTAGCAAAGTGTGGTGCTTGTACAACACTGTACTATTGCCAAGCAAACTTAACCCTGTCTGCTTTTAAAAGGTCATTCTTCTGATACATTCATTCTTTCTTCATAATTAGTTCAAAATGTAAAGTAGGCTGTGAGGGGCAGTTCAAAGATGTGAGGCCTTTGGGTGAAAAATGCATTTCAATTTTTCCCCATGGCATCCAGCTGCAGAAATGCTTATAACTTGCTTTGTGTGTTGTGGAGCTAAGGGGAAAGTCTGTTTGTGTATGGTGTAATGCTGCCCTCATAAATAAACCTTAAAAATGTGTAGCCTGTAAAAAATAAAATAAAATCCTAGCTTGCTCAGAGGCTATTGCCGTACATTTGAATGTTGGGCAGAGGGGGAGGAGAAGCAGAAGCGCAGGCTGCTAGCCTCTTAGCAGGCTGGTTGTAAACATGGCCTTGTCCCAAGCAGGCTGGCAGAGGGCAGACAGAGCCAAGGAGCCTCTCCTTCCTCTGGGGCCAGCACAGGAACCAAGCCAACTGGCAGAGGATGGGTGACGCAGTCTGCCCCAGGCCTGCGCCATCTTGCTTATCTGCTTCCTTGGAACTCTGCATCACCTATGGCAGCCAGTTCAGTTGTTCAGTTCAAGGCTGGTGTCATAGAAACTTCAGCTGTTAGAAAAAAAATTCTACCTACTCTGAACAGCAAATGTCATACCTGGCCTATCCAGTCAGGCATTTGCTAATTTTTAGTGAGTTTATAACCCCGTCTTTCAGGGGATGCCTGTAGTGCCTGAAAGTATCACATAAACTGTAATCCATTCACATGTATCAGTTAAAAGTGGATGCAGTGACAGATAAAATACCAAAACAATCAGCCAAAGAGATTTAAATAGGTCTTTAGGAGGCAGTGGGGTTCTGAAAGGAGGTGCCAGGGTGTCCTAGGGCTGGGAGTTTCACAGGTTTGGGTGCAGTTGGAGAGAAGGCCCTGAACAGGAACTTTGGCTATTGAAGGTTGAAGATGCCTGCCCTATATTAGAGCAATAGACCATTGTGCAACAATCAATCAAAATGTGTCATTTTCCTTTTTATAGGATTCCACAGTCTTTGAACTACTGGACATTTGGCGATGACACACCCGAAGACATTAGCCAGAGCTAAAGTCAGAAGCAGTTCTAGGTGCTGTGTTAGACACAAAAACAGCACAATTCTATATCTAAACTTTACCTTTCTGAGTCCTCCTTCACTCAGTGGTCTCTAAGGAACTGACTGAGAATTCACTGAGTCCAGGTAGAAGAAATTCAGTCTATTCTTCACTCCAATGCAAGATCCAAAGCTTCATGAGTAAATTGCCCATATACACTGAACTGACAGCTTGTTTTTCCAGGAGTAAATCAGATGTCAAGAAAGGACTGGACCTAATTTATATTTGCTTTGCACTTTGATCTGACTCTGAAGAAGAAAAACATTCTCAGTGAAATGTGGGTGCCAAACACATACCCAGAATGTACAGGGCTCTGCTTTCAAAGTCGTCCTCCTTCTGCAGACTTTACGTTTCACAGATGATGCGGATCCTGTTCCATTGACTAGGAGTATCAGTTGGACTGGATATTTCTGAATGGATCAGTAATATTTTGGATGATAGTTGACCTATTTCTGCACCAGTAATTTGCTTTAATTTAAAGATTGTAAATTGGGCTAGAGTATCTAAACTAGGTGTACAGCACTGTTTCCCCCATCTTTTAATTGTGCCCTGTACCACAGCTGTCGTCCTCCTCCTCCTCCTCCCCCCACTCCTCCTCATCATGTTTGGTATAGTCGGATCCTTCATGTGTGCTTGCCTCATTATTTCCAATACCGTAACTGTATAAGCATGTAGATATAATGTACATAAACATTGTAACCTCCAAGTGCTGGGAGTCAGGGTCTCCTGATACTGTACACAGATGTCAAGGCAAAGCCGTTCAGCATCCAGGCATTCTTACTACTGGCACCAGACAGGGTTGGGATGTATCACTTTAGAAATATTTCTGGGAAAAGGAGGATTTGGGCATTCATTAGAATTTTCTCTTTTAAAAATGGAGTGCATTATCTTAATGTTAGCTTCTAAAATTTTCGTAAATGTAAAAGTTAAAATTTGTCTCTCCCCCATGCCCCAACACATGCTTCGGTGTTCGCAGATCATCTGAAGCGATTGGCCAAAGTTGCAGATACTCGCTGCAGCTTTAAAACCCACTCAAATAGTCCTTGATGACTATACTTCTAAGCTGATCTGAAGATGAAGTGTTACTTCATTGTGATCTTGTAGGAGATGATGGCTGTTCCTTGCTATTTACTTCAAGAAACCTAGCAGTTAATGGCACACAATCATAGGGATTTCTACTCTCTTGAAAAGTATGACCAGCCATGGCTATTAGTCATGTATGTCCCTACATGAAAGCAAACTCTTTAGACATACCACCTCTGTATCTTCTAAGTTATTGCTGGACAGCGTTGTTTAGTAGCTGCTAATGCTCGTTTTAGAAATTATTAACTAAGAAAATATAATGCTCTTTGGTCTAGGAGCTGTAGTTGGCATGGATATGAACACTGTCATTCCTTCATCATATGAGTTTGTTTCCCCTTTACTGCCACTCCCAGTTTCTTTCTCTCTTTTTCCCCTTCTCCCCCTTTTGATTGAGGGGTTCAAGGAATGTTGATAACCAATTTAAATGACCAATGAATGAATCTTGCTTATTTAGTGGAACGGCTATGGCTGGACAGTTCCCTTGCACACCTACCAGCTTGTCAGTCAAATTAAACAAGAAAGCACACATCAGATGTGCAAAAGACGCAACTTGAGCTGCTTCTGCTATTCTACTCATTGCCTTCCTACAAATTACACATCTACTATTTTGAGCCCAGAAAATTCCCCTCCACAGTGAACCCCACAAAAATAAGACTTAGGACATGGCTACCATCAGATCCCACAAAATCCATATGAGGACACTTCCCATGTTCTCTGTTTTAATACTGTTGACAGTATGGAAGTGGATTACTTCTCCCTGCCCCTCCCCCGTGTCATTGAATAGCTGTAATATGTCTATTACAGTCCCGAAGACACAGGTATTTATGGAGAACTATCCTTTTTTAATGCATGTTTAAGATGAAATTCATGTTTTTTCCATGGGAAATAATGGTATTTGAAGACGCAGCCTAAACTACTTTTGATTGTGCTTGGTGTAACATAGCCGTGGAGTTTGTGACTGGCACCCAAGGAACCTGGCTCCTGGGACTAATGATAGTACTGGCTGTACTCTGGACTTTGTTTCGCTAATCATAACTGAGCAGCTGTATGTTACTGCTAGATTAATGTTTCAAAGCACTGGGATAGTCTTATTCTAACTTGTAATTATGTTTGCCAGTTACCTGTTTGGAAAGTTTGTGTATGAACAGCTTATTGGACAACTGTTGAACTGTACAGATATTGTTCATGATATAAGGCTTTGTACTGTGGAATGTGCTTAATAAAAAAAATTCTGAACTTCATTGTCCATATTCCTAGTTGGATGGAAACGTTATCAAACTCTACCAACTGAATGAAGTGCTTCTACTTTCAAGTAGCTGAAATAAGATGTTTTCTGAGTTTCCTTTGTAATTTGGAGCAGGTTTCTGCATCCAAGGCCCAAATATACACCAATTCCTTGGAGTAAATGAGGCTAAAAGGACTATCATGTCTTGGCATCAAGTTGAAGGATCCAGGCCAATGGCAGATGCATGATCCTCTATGCATCAGTACACCGCTAAAACAATTCTCTTCCAGTTTTGGGGGTGGAATTAAATGCTAACTTTAAATTACAAACTTTTATATCCAAAATGTTTTACAATGACTGGCCTGAACAATATCTATAGGAAGTGATCAAATATGGGTTCTTTTGTAAGGAAATTTCAGTTGTTGCTCCTTCATATTTGCAAGTGGCCTGACAGCAGGGTAGGTGAATAATGTTGAACAAAGAAATAAGTTGGTGTTAATGAACAATTACTGTATTAAAAAGATTCACATTAAAAGTTACCCAATCTGTATTGGCCAGAACCTGGTGCCAACTTTGGAACAGCTTCAATTGCAGTTCAGCACAGTTGAGTGGGGGAATGGCAAAAGTTGCGTGCAGAAAGGTGTGAGTGAATAAGCAAAGAAGTCTTGGGAGACTGAAGAAGAGATGTAATTTCAGTGATTCAGAAAGAAATGAAAAAAAAAAAAAAACAGATGACCTATTCAGGAAAATAGCCCAGATGGATTTCAGCCCTGTGAAATGGGCAAAAATTGACTTCTTGGTGGGAAGGAAAGAGCAGGCAAGAAAGGGAGTTCAAAGCAAAAAAATCAAAAGAGCAAATACACTGAAACAGAAGCTACAGCATGGGACCCCTTGGGGATGCCTTTCTCCTGGACTGAGAAGATGATCTGAACTATGCTTTCCCCACGGAGCAGTTCATTGTATGCTGTGAACAAGATACAGGAGGACAACACTTAATGCCTCCTAAAGCCACAGGGTTGCAAATTGGTTTACTACATCTTTCCAGTCACAGCTTCCCTAGGCTGAGGAAGATACTGGAGAATCAGGAATGGGTCAGTTCCCAAATCTTGAGAATCTCCGCCTCACAGCCTGGCAATTAAGGCCACACATCTTAAAGATGTCCGGAAGGTTGCAACACCTTGCCTCAAACTTGCCACATGAAAGTCCTGCAATACCAAGTGAAGAGTGCTTTTGATATACCTTGACAATATGGGACAATGACCTCAGACCTGTGACCTCTCCCAGATACTGGACTTCCTTCTCTTTCTTAAAACTGGAGGATAGACTTACAGGAGCAAGAAGAGAAGTTTGTCATTTAGACCTTGATTTGGTTTAGCTTTTAAATTTAGGGCAGTGTTCTGGCCATATTTATATCAGTTATGAGGAGAGGAAACGCTAGTAGGTTCTTAATGAATCTTGCATGGTATGACAAAAAGAAGGATTTCATCAAATAGAAGGGTCTCACCAGCCCCCAAACCTGCACCCATTTGCTTCAGTGCAGGAGAAAGGCTGGATCTATCAAGCCTTTGTGGATTGCCTCCCACTTCAACCCCTGGCAAAGTTTTTCCTTGGAAAAACTGACTCCCAGTGGATGGCCAGACAGGGAGAGCACACTGGTGCCTGGTCCACTGATGGTCTTCAAGTAGAAGGCACATTCACATGTAAGGCAAGTTCTCCGGTTGTGACTAGGCAAGCATGGAGCACAGCAACACAGGAAGATCCCTTGGGATGAAACAGACCCTTGGCCCATCTAGTCTGGAATTGTCAGCACCGACTGGCAGTGGCTCTCCAGGGTTTCTGCAAGAGTCCTAGTGTTCCTGGGTTGGGAATTGAATGAACCTGGAGTTTACTGCATACAAAGCAGATGCCCTAAAACTAAGCCATGGTCTCTTTTGACTATGACAAGATTCGGTAGAGGGTCCTACCCCCTGGCCAGGAATGATCAGAGTTCTCTCAACTCTCAAATTTCCAGCTCTGAGGAAGTGCAAGTTATAATGGATGTTGCAAGTTATAATGTAAACTGCTGGCCTAGTTGACTGGGAAACAGTGGCTTGATCTAGAAAACTCTCCAAACCTCTTTAAACATGTGCAATTGTATTTAAAAGTCACCAACTTGGCCTGCTCCCATTAGAGGAATCCTCCTTGCAGAAAGAACTAGTGCTCCCAGGAACTGACAGCATCCCGATCAGCTACTGTCCCCAGTCCAGGAGGAATCTGGGCCTTCAGGAGAGTGGCTGCAGAACAGCCCTTTGGCCCCCAAGAGACTCATGACAGGCCAGCAGTTTCCATGAGGAGTGCTCACTTGTAAAGAAGGACTCCCCATTTATAAAGCAACATTTCATCAATAGAAAGACCTCTAGCCAGAAAACCCTGATGTGTGACAGCTGAGCCCTGGGAGGGGCTCAGCAGGCCCTGTCTGTCACAGCCTTCAGTGTCTCCTTAACCAGTGCTGGAAACCGTGTCCTTTCAGCCTTGTACTTTGCTTCCCAGACCTTGCCCCTTGATTGATGCTCCTTTCTCCTGACCCTTTGGACTCGTGCTTGACTCTCCCTCTGGGCTGTGTGATGTATCTGACTGGCCAACTTTTTTCAACTTTGCCTGCTGCTTGACTGCTCCTACTTGAATTTGATCCTCGCTGGACTGAGATCTTTGTGCTTGAACATTTCCCTGTTTTGTTACCTTGCTTTTTGGGTAGCCCTTCACTCAGAGTCTGCTTCAGTCAGCTGCAGCGGGAAAGGGGGGTTTGGGAAAATTGGGCAGACGCACAAGTTCCTACAAGGAGAAGCAGGCAAGAAAAGTCAATGACAACATTATGTAAGGGTCTTAATTGCAATAACAAAAGTATTATGTTTAGAGGCAGAGTATTTTGGACTAGACAGAGCTAAAGGAAAACAACTGGCTAGAGGCACTATCATTTTCACTTGCTTATGAACTTTCTTGGGACATTTAGTTGGCCATTGCCAGAAACCTCTTGCTGGCTTAGACCAGCTAGGCTGGTGTGGGGAGGCCAAGAAGCAAACTTAGATCTTGCTGACTAAATCTTGCCTCCTTTGGCCAGTCACTCTCTCCTTTTCAGCCTCAGCCCCTAACCTCTGATTTAGGACTAATAGTGGCCTCTCCAGTGCTGGGGGGTCTTGCGAGGATAGCAAGATGGAAGTGAACATGATGTTATTTTGTACATTCTAGGAATTCTAAGGATGATCATTCAAAAGCAGAACATGAATCTAATGGATCTTCTCTTTTCTCCGTGGCAGGCAGCACACTGCCACCAGGACTAGTAGCCATTGATAGACTTCTCCTCCACAAATGTGTCCAATTTGATGGCCATCACATCTTGTGGTAGCAAATACTGTAGAATATAGTGCAAATCATATTGAGGGTGGTGGGCAGGCAGGGGAGATGGGTGTTTATGCAGCCTTAACTTCCTTGTAGGATGCTTAGGATATAAGGAAGAATATAGTAATGTGTAATAGTTGGGTTTCAGTGCATAAGAATGATTATGAAATGTGCTGCTGGGCCATTATATCCCCCTGTACCTTTCTCTCGGCCAGCATGCCATCAAAGACGGATTCCTGCTTCAGCAACAAGTAGGCAGTCCGGAAAATAACTTTACATTTTGATTTGTTCATGCCAAGAACTTTGGAGCTTGGCTCTTTCGTGGGGTGTTTCCCCTCCATCTGCATAAACAGAAATGGGCTAGCTTTGCACCTCAGGAATGAGAAGATAAAAAAGGGTGATTATTTATTTTTCCACCAAAGTTAGAAATATTTTATAGAGTTTGCTAAAAGTTTTTTGTTTCAGGAAATTTCATCATGTCTCCAGGAAAAAGAACCCCTAATTGGCCTCAGATTTACTAATAACCTTTTCATTTTTGTAATTTGAGGATTTGTAGGTCATCTCGAGGTGACTGCAGTTAGGGTTGGTTTGGTTCCTCTGTGAATACCTAGTCTCTGCAGCAGGAACCCCCCCTCCCCCCCACACACACACACGTTAAAAAAAGCCACTCTGGCCTGTTGCTCTAATAGCCAGTTTTTTTGGCAAAAGCTTGCATACCTTTAGCATATGGAAATATTTTTAAGAACACATACCAGGCTTTCAGTCTTAAAAGTGAAGTGCTCCAACAAATTAACAAATGCATATATAGTCTTTTTTGTTATATATATATATAGTGTTCAGAGTATTTCATCTTAAAAATAACTACAAGGGACCTTAACAATCTTCTGCCTTTCATAAGAAATGGCTGTCATTTTTGATGTGTCAATAGGAGTAAAAAAGAATATGCCCAGTAATACTGAATGCATGAACATGTGTGAGTGGTGGGGAGGATATGATGCACTGGACTGCAACTCCTCCTATCAGCCCCAGCCAGCATCACTAATTGTAAGAGTTGATGGGAATGGCAGTCTAATAACACACAGAAGGCCACCCATTCTCCATCTCTGACATAATTCAAGTCCTACCACATCAGACCATGGCCTAGCCTAGTATTCTGTTTCCAGTGGCGGCTGGTCAGATGTTTCCAGGAATTCCACAGGTAAGATGATGATGCCAACAGCTCCTTGACCTCCAGAGGAAGTCTGCCTTCCAAGCCAGTAAGAACATCAAGGCAACACCCAGAGGGGAAGGCCAGCTTCCTCTTCCATGACAGAGCAGGTCTCAAGCTCTGGCCTATCAGAGAAGACCTCAATCCAACACACGGTTCCCTGGGAGAAAGCTTCATTGGACACAATGGTACATACTTTTGAGTGGACCTACATAGGCTTAGACAAACACATTCTGATGCTCAAGACCAGTGAACAGCCTAGCATACCACCCTAACCCTGGCTTCTACCAGATCTTTTGGACTTCAACTCCCATCAGCTCCAGCCAGAATGGCAATTATCAGGAATGTTTTTGACAGGCAGAAACATCTGGAAGGGATGTTGGAGGGAGGGAAGTTCAGCCCAGGAATATCTGATGCTGCCATTTTGCTCAGAC